ATTATATGGGTGCCGCCAAGTGAAAACCAAAACTTCTAAAAATAGACTTCTTTACATAACGGAATGCGGGCTTTTAACCGATCTGACTAGAATAATAAATTATACTGTTTTTTTTATCACATATTAGTATCATTTAAAGGCCGCATTCCGTTGTCTAATGAATTCTATTTTTAAAAGTTCTGGTTTTTGCTTGGCAACACCTATATAATATTTGGTATCAATATTTTGTATTAAGAACACTAATCGTATATGTGATTAATTACGTAAGATCATAATTTTTCAGGGGATAAATTTTTTATCTACAGGTTTTTACTTGAGTATACAAATGAGAAATATTAAAAAATGGTAAATATATATATATATCATTTTTTAACACATCAATTGATAAAATATTTTACTCACCGGGCCAATATCTCTACTACTTGTGTAACAATTCCGATAAGAAAGTGTTAGAATCTCCTGATATGCCAGTATTGGTAGGCGACAAATAGTGTTTTAATATATAGATTAAAAAAAATATATATATATATAAACTAGTAATTAAAATATATAATCAACTCTATATAATAATATAATATAAAAAAGTGTGCACATAGATTTATTACGCTTCTTAGGAGCCACCATATACTTTCTTTATCACACTGCAGTTCATTGATCTTAAGGTTTGTTATGAAGAACCATCAATTACATCACTTACATATAGAAACGACAGATGAAACATCTAGTTTGCACAACACAAGAACAAAAAACGTCGGGTAGTAGCAAAATGCCAAGGCCAATTAAGCCCTATAAAAAAAGAGAAGAAAGAATTAAGCTGAAAATTAGAGAGAAAGAATTCTAATAAATATTAAACCGACCAGCAAGATAGTTAACATTATAATTAGAGGCATCTGTTAATTGAAGTAATTGAAGTAATTGAAGTGATCGAAATGCATGTGCATATTTTAAAGAAAAGCTTGTGAACCATTAAAAAAAAAGAATTAGTACAGATCTTCACTTGGAATCGAAAGAAAAAAAAAAAAATACTCACGAATAGTGATGTGAGTTAATAGCTATTGGTAGATATTTACCACTGGTATCTAATGGTAGGTTAGAGTAATAATATACTAAGACATTAGTTTTAAAATTTTAAAACATCATAAACGTTATTGTTAGATACTAATTATGTGCCTAGCATCTATCTGTAGCTACCATACTGCGCTGACCACGATACAATACAATCTACGGGGTACTATACTAAGTGATTTTTTATATGAGAAATTTTTTTTACATAGGATACGTCCCCTGGGTATTTTACATTTTACCATGAAATTTTTTCATAGGGTACTATCTGGGCTATTTGGGAAAATTCATATCGCTATTCACGAAGGTAAAATGCTGCAAACATTTTTGCTAGTTCCAGTAAACGCCCAGAACCTTAAGTCCAGATCGACAAAGAATTAAGTGTTCACTATGTTAGATGAATATAGATGAATATAAGTAAAAATCGGCATGACTTAATAAACAAACAATATTAAATAATGGAAGATTGTCACCCGAGTTCTTTAAACAAACGAGCATTGTTGCTCATGATTTAAATTAATTTTTAATAATCTAAGATTCTTTCTTATTTTCATTGCGTAGTAAGTTTCTACACGATATCTTAATGAATTGCCTTGTTTGGCTCAAGCAATCTATCATAGTGCACTGATCAAAAGACCCGGGTCTAATACAAAATACCCGTCAAAAAACTTACAAAAGACCCGGGTATATTATACAGCAGTGGGTCTGTGTCACAAGAAAGAGAGATTTCGTTTATATACATACTTCGCATTCATGATAAGCAGTCTAGAAATTTAAAAAAAACCTATATTTAATTAATAGAGATCTCATGTTTTGCTCTGGGTATTTTGCAAGGAGAATATTGAAAAAAGGAAATACTTTGGTCAGTGCACTACGGTATTTAGATTCATAAGTGCTTTTGTATATTATCCATGATAAAATAAGCATTTCCTTGAAAGATTAGTTCATCATTATTCATCGCTATTGATAAAAGACAATATATTATTATTAAGTAATTCTACAATGCATAATAAAATTAGTTTAATGCTAAATGAATTTACTTAAATAATCTACCAAAAGTCTACTAAAAATCCGCCTTGTGATATCAACACGTATAAAAATGGATCTTTTAAATTGTCAATAGATAGTCTGCAATTACTGAAATATAACCTGATTATACTTTAAAAATTACTATAATTTATTCTTAAAGTTCTAATTACCTTAGATTATTCGTTAAAATTTAGATAATATCTATGTAATATTTAGTTTTTTTTTTTTTTTTTTTTTTTTTTTTTTTTTTGTATAATCTCAATAAGTTTAAATAAAAAATGCAGTGACATTTGCTATTTTTATAGTGAACGTTTTTTAATTGTATAACATTTGTTTGTACAATATACCAAAATTGTAAATCGCTAAAAAGCATAGTTATTTATTAGATATTCATTCATTTTACCAAACCTTGGAACTATATGAACAGTTTTATCTATACTTTCTACTGGTATACAACTATAATGGTCAATTAATTTTACTCTTAAACATCCCCATAATTCTTCATTTTCAAAAGTATCATACCAATGAACCAAAACGAGGTTAATCGGTTCTTTTATTCCGGTTCTGTAGTACTTAAAAAGTAATAAAACCTTATTTTCAAACTAACTGATTAGATAAGTTTGTCTCATTTAATGTACCCAATATAATATACATTAAAATTATTACCTAACCATACCAAATTATTTTGTTTTTTCCTTCCATACCACTTACTGACACATTTGAAAACATTGGTTCTCCATAAAAACTTTTTGTAGCACATATAATATCTGTGCTTTCGACGGAAACAGAAGAGTATACTTCAATTATATCATTGCTTGAAAAAGTTGAACCATTTTCAAAATATTCCTCAAAAAATTCACCAAGGCAACTTAATAATAAATTAAATTCGTCGATTTGAAGATAATATAATTCTCCACTATTATTTTGAATTAAGTCATCGATGCTAAATAGGTTAAGTTTCCATAAGAGCTTTTTATATCCTTCTGTTTTTCGATATTTACTAGTTTTTGTCTTCTTCGTTAATTTTTATCGTTTAATCTAAATATAAATGTATTATCGTTAACTCTTGGGAGTAAGCGACTAAAATTGATTTAGTAAATAATTACCGTTTTAATAATCTGTTTCATAAAATTTTTTTTATTAATCATACGATAAGGATTTTTTACATAATATTTATACAAAGTTTCATAAGTTTCTGTTGAAAAACTATTTATTGAGCCATATTCCTTTATTGTAGATATTACGTGATAGCACCATGTATGAAGTTTTGGTAGCCGCATATTACTTCAAGAATAGAGAGCGAAAATATCAACAAAATCTTCGGCCCAATCTATAATGAGATCCTAAGTAAAAAAAAAATAAAATAAATAAAAAAGGGTTAAAAATATGTGGAAATGCATAAGCATTAATGTTTATTATACTTGAAGTTTAGAACATGATTCATTAGTAAAGGAATCTTCACAAGTAGCCATGTACATTTTGAGAAACTTGTAAAATACTTCACACAAATGTTTATTACTGATGCCTGGCTTTTTTTTGTATGCGCTATAAAGGTTATCAAGAACAAAAATAATAACCTTCATGATATTTCGCAAGTCATCAGCAGTCATATAGCTCATATCACATCCATGTTTCATTATTTTGAGTCCATGAAATCTAGGAATCTTCGCAAAACGTTGTTCAAAGGTTTGGACAGTCTTAGATCCACATTGCTTAGTTAAAAGTTTTTTCGTATAAGTTAGCATATACTTAAACAAACCAAGATCTAATACATGCATTTGATCTGGCACTGTTGCTTAATAAATATTAAAATCTCTAATTGATTAAAATAATATTAGTTATATATTTTGTAACAATTAAAATCTTCAACTAATACCTTATTTGCCAGAATATATTTTTTCATTATGAATTGAATTTTCTTGAGCCCGATTGGCATCGATTGCCTGTCTCATATTCTGATGATTTCTTAGCAAAATTTTATTTGGATTTAGATTTACATTATTCAGATCATCCTTCGGTACTAGGCAAGTATTACATGGTCTTTATACTAAATATGACTGATAAATGTTTGCAATCATATTAGCCTTAAGCATATCAGCTAATATTAATGAAATTTGTGGAATAAATGTAATTATGTCTCGTCGGACTACAAAATGAAGTTCTGGACCATCAATTATAGGACCCAAAAGAATTGATAGATATCGCTAAAAAACAAGTCTTCGTGCTTGTCTAAAACCTTTAGAATCTTTGGTTTTTGAATCTTTGGCTTTTAATATTGGTAAATATCCAATTAATGCCTTTGATTCTAGTTTATTTCTCTGAAAGTTTGGAATATTGCCAAGAGATAGGAATATTGGATGTCCAGAAGATTTTTCCATATGATCTAAAGTCGTAGTATCTGAATAAAGAATTATCGAAAGTAGGCGTCGGCCAACAGATAGTTTTATTTCTTCTCGCTTCCACTAATCGCAATTATACTGTTCTTTAAATATTTGACATTCTATACCATTTCTTGTTTCACTACTTTCTGTATATTTTAATGCCAAATCTCGATTTATACTGTTAACTACTAATAATGATTTAATAGCCTGGATTATTGGACAATAATAGAGTGTATATTTGACATCTTGGAAGGTTGCGATTGAAATTTCCTTAAATGTTGTATATTGAATATTTGCGTTATTCAAAAATTCCTTCCCAGTACGTATCGATGAAGGCAAAGGTGATTTTTTCAAATTAGAAAATTTATTGAAAAACGTATAAAAGCATTTGCAGCTTTATCTGAAAGCTGATATTTAGTAGTAATCTCTATAAATTCTTGATAAGCATCACTGGGCCATTGCATTTCTTCGGAATTGCGCATTTTACGATAAGCATCTTCAAATGACGCACCCTTAGAGTCTTCATCATTAATTAGCATATTCTCAAATTTTAATTCATCACTTTCAATAGGTTGAGAATCGAAAGAAGTCTGTTCAGAATAATCCGATTGATCTGAAGAAAATTCAGGATCGAAAATATCTGGTTCCATCGTTTGTGATATTCCTTGGTTCTAAATTTAAAAATGTGATTAAAAATTTTGATGTATTTCTGCTAGCATTTCACATTAACTTCGATTTTTACCCATAGATCATCATTAGGTTCTTGTGGCATATTCCAAATATTATAATCATTAGGATCCTCTGGCATGTTCCAAATAGCATCATCATTAGTATATTTTGGCATGTTCCAAATAGTATCATCGTTAGGGTCTTTTGGCATATTCCAAATAAGATCTTCAAGAACATAAGATTGCTGAGAAGTTGATTCCAACGTGGATGCATTTTCAGAAGTTCTAGGATGTTTTTGTGATATGTGTTGTGACAAAGCATAAGATTTAAAAAATTTTTTTTTGCAATGATAACATTGCCAGCGCATATTGGATAAATTTTTTATAAAAAAAAAAAAAAAAAAGCTATTTAATAAACACTAATATAGATTGGTTGTAAGTTATTTTTAGTTTTATGAAGTTATTTTATTTGCTCTGCTGAGCTGCTTTTATAATTTTCCTATCATTATTAAGTGTTCAATATAAAACACCACCTATCATCAAAACGGGCTTTATTCTGCAAAACACTTCTAAGTTTAATGCACATTCTAAGATAAAATTGGGCTTATTCTTATATGTTATAATCCTGCAGTCTTTAATTCGTTTGTAGACGTGATTTGAAAAAAAAGCAATGAATGTCTGTCATTTAACTACAATCGAATAGAATTTTATCTTTTTTCTTTTACAAAGATTTCTTTAATTCAAATGCAATTGATTTAATTGGAATATAATCTCTAAGTTTTCGTCAAATCATACAAAAATATACAAGAGCATCGAACATATTTTAAATCAAATGCAATCTTACAAATTTGAATCATATAAAGAAAGTATAAAAAGCATTTATCATATTTTAAATTGAAGCAGTTTTGCTTTTGTTTATTTTAATCTTTTAACAAAGATTTCTTTAATTCAAATACAATCGGTTTTAAGTTTTATTCGAAACTGGGGTGCTTATATGTTGAGCTTTATTTTACTCGAATTTCAAATAAACCACGTAGAACAAAGTATTATTTTTGTTAACGGTATATTATATTATACTGCTTGCTATCACAATATTTAAATTAATTAGGCCATGCCAAGTTGATTTTCTGTTTAATATAACATGAGATGACTTGTAAGAGGGGGGTGGGAATTAAGAAAAAAATACAATAATATTAGATACAACTATGTGTATTGACCTATATAGATTTTGAAAAATTAATATTATATGTATTAGTTCCTATAATTTTGAAAAATTGAGGGTGGGGGTTATGTTAAACAGAAAATCAAATTGATCTGGTCTTAATTAAAAAGAATATTACAAAGAATGTGTTATTATAAGCATTAGTTAAAAGAATAATAAATACATACAAAAGAATTTATTACTTATATTTAAAGAATAGATAGATACGCGTAAAGTGGGTAAATGTGATATTAATCACTAATAAACCCAAACCCATTAAAGAATCTATGTACAAGATATAAATCAAAACTTTAATAGTTAATTTACAGTTGACAAACCCAAACGTACTACAAGAACTGACCAAATTTAAATATTAATCCTGGATCTTCTACTACTAAGAGCTTGTATCTATTCAAAGTCAACAGTAAAAATAAAAGATTATTTAGATTTAATATAATAAATTAGTTTTAGACGAAACGTTTCCAGTTACAGTATAATTTGATATGCCCAATAAACGGTAGACATATTTTGTCTTCTCAGTGAAGTTCTTGGGATTACAGACTATTTTTGATTATTTTTGCATAGAGAATATAAATGTTCTTTCGAAGTAAAAAATGGCTTTTTTTATTAGTAAAAATGTTACATTCCCAAAAAGTACTTTAAAGTACATAAATAAGATACCCAGGCAAATGATTAACATCAGCCAATTATACGAATGTCTCACTATGAACTTTAAAGTGTATAAATCAGTTACCTAGGCAATTGAATTTTCTCCTATAAAATTGAATGCATATGCATGCATGCATTTGTTCCACGATCGAACAAATTGACAGATTCGGTAAAAAATCAGGAAGTGGAAATTGGTGGGAAAACCTAAAAGAGGAATTATATATATATATATAGTTAACAATAGGAATATTATGTGGTCTGGTCTTAGACTTAAGAAGACTGTAGACCATTATAGAACACACCAGGACTAGACCTCTAGTTAACAATATATGAAGACGATGTAAAATGTAAATTATAATTATCTTTTGGGTAATGCCCAATTGAGTCTAAGGTCATAATAAAGAACTCACTAAATATATTTCATGTCTCTAGCAGAGAGTTCCTTCTATTTTTTCTCTAAAATGAATATAAATACTGATCAAAGGTAATTTGATTGCTTTTATAAATCATTAATTTATCTATATAATTGTAAAAGTATGAACTTTTTCTAGTAGTAACAGTGTTGCTTTACTTGCTGCAATAGCAGTTGCACAGCCCACCTAAGTAATTTATGTTTTCACCTCACTTTTCTTAAATAATTTACAATACACTGTTGGCCTTTCTAAAGAATTGGTTGCTATAGCACCGTCATCTGATGCATTAAATGGTAATATACGTATTGGTAATGAAGTATGATATAAAATATCTTGAAAAATAGATTTTTAATTAAATAAGATTGTAAAATAAGATTAGAGTAATGAAATAATTTTGTCATTAGCGTTGAATTAGTAAAATTGCCGAATTAATTTTTAATTTAACTATGTAGTAGAGGTCACTTAATTTACTATATAGCATATTTGTTTTTTAATCACAATCAGAACAAATGACATGCAGAAAGAGCACTTCTCGTATTGAACTTTATCCCAAACAGGCAAGCTTTTAACAGTCTTAACCATTATATAGTAGTATATGAGAGAAATTAAGACTATTGTTAATAATCGTTTAAACACCACCGATATTCATATACCTATACTGATTTCGCGAATTAGTATGATTATTGAACTTTGTAAATTTTATAAATCTCGCATTATCATTGTGAAGATAATGACAATATGTGGGATTCATAGAATTCACAAATTCAATAATTTAAAGCAGCGATAGATTCTTCAGTATATTTTAATTGAAATCACCAAGTCATTTTATAAAAATGTAAGTTCTTATTTTTATAGATTTTAGTGAAACTTTTTTACTTTCATCTTCACACAACCCTTCATGTAACTCTTTACTAACTCCACTATCAAAATTTACAGTTGACTCTGGATATAACGAACCTTCCTATAACGAACACTAGATATAACGAACTTAAAATTTTGAAATTTCATAATAGTTCGGTATAAAAAGTTGCATGGGGTTCTTAAGAAAACATAGTAATTTCCCTATAACGAACTTTTTTTTCTTCCAGAATCTTCAGTTCATTTTAGAAAGAGTTGACTGCACTTTGTTTATCAAAGTTTCTTGTTTGCAGCTATTTTAGAAAGCTTAGATTTAATGTCTAACAAGGGTTCCTTAAAAAAAATTGAGTAATCAAAATGATGGTAAAGAATTATTTTAAATGGTTATAGTGTTTAATTTGCATTTATAGTCACAATGTATACTATATCTTTTAAAATAATGAATTGTTAGATTTAAATTTACGTGGTCGTAGTAAAGTCTGGCACAACACTTCAAAACAAAAAAGTTATAGTAAATCACGTTCTAATTCTTCCCAGCACAGTCATAGTAGTAATTCTAGCAATTATTACTTGCAAGAATACAGTAACAAAAAAAAGCATAAAAAACACAAATCCCGCCCTAATTCTCCCAAAAACAATTCTAAATCTCATTCTTCCAAGAGATATCGTAGAAGATCTCATTCCAATTTCTTATATACTAGTAGTGGTAGTAATTATTCTCCACAAGAAGAGTATGCTAGTAGCTCCTATAAAAAAAAGCAGCATGGGTCTTCCTCCCTACAACAAAATAATAACAAGTATTATAAGTCTTCTTCCAAACAACAAAAAGATACTAGGTCTCACAAATCTCACACCCAAGCTTCCAAAATCCAAACATCGCAAGTATCCTAAACTCAGATATCCAAAAATGGGCCCCGTAATTATTCAACTACATCATCATATGAAGGTAAAAATTACTGGGTATTGTTAAATATTTATAGTACGTAGGGATTTTATCTTGTTTAAAATGCTTAAATCTGTTTAATGAGATTTGCTCATTATTACCGTTTGCCAATGCATACAGTACCCGTGGTCATAACCAAGAATTTCATTTTTTAAATTGAATAGTACCTATGGGTATTGTGTGAGGAACGGGTACTATATTTGGAGATATTTCATATGAACAGTAATAAATTCATATAATTAACCACCAGATACTATTTAAGAATCAAGCCAGGATGGTGATGAATATTTTGGGAGATACTATATGCAGTAGCGAATGATGCTATTACTTTTCGATAAATGACTACATCAGCAAAATTTAAAAGGTGCTATATATCAATAGTAATCCCCTAGATTACAATCAATATACAACCCCCCTGCCGATTATTATCGTTAGTAATTACTAACGATATATAACAAAAATTTGTTAAATTTTTTTAAACTTTAACATTAATTTTCTCGATAACTATCGATCCAAATCGGCTCAAATTTTTATTACATATAGTATATTTATTCAACTATAATATAGTAAAATTTTAGCTAATTTGAAATAATAGTTCTTGAGAAATCGTTTATTAACGATAGTTAATTTTTTTAAAAAAATTAACTATTGTTAACAAATGATTTCTCAAGAAATATTGCTTCAAATTGGCTGAAATTTTACTATATTATAGTTGAATATATATACTATATGTGGTAAAAATTTGAGCCGATTTGGATTGATAGTTATCGAGAAAATTAACATTAAAGTTTAAAAAAATTGGTCAAATTTTATAAAATCGTTATTAATCGATAGTGATTATAATCGTTATATATCAATAATCGTTATTTATCGTTAGTGATATATATCGATATATAGCAGTTAATCGATATATATTGATAATTTTTAATCAATATATATCGATTAACTGCTATATATCGATATATATCTGCTTAAAAATTTTGCTGATGTAGTTAAACTTATTCATAATGCTTTTAAGAATATACTTTATTAATAGTATATAGTTATTAATTTAGCTCAATACAAAGTATATAGATATTATTCTTTTAATACTTAGAAATTCTTTATGAAACCGGTTTTCTTAAAAAC